TTGGGAGGGTCAAGAGGGGGTGGGGAGGGAGATCTGACAGCCGACTAGCGGCTTTACAGCACTTTACATAGAACTGTGTGGCATGCAGCGTGGGGGTGGGGGGACGACGACGACTCTCTCTCCATAGATAGAGGCTGCTGAAGAGGGAGCTTTGAAAAGAAACCTGTCCCACCTGCGCAGGCTCTTCAGGTATCCTCTGCGCCCCTCATGCGATGCTGCAGACATGGAATTGTAGCTGTCGCCTCTACCCCGTGACGTGACAGAAGAGCTTCCCATAGACACCCCGATGTGTGCAGCTGCCTCGTAGTAACAGTCTGGATACCACAGATACTTCAGGAGCCTGCGCAGACGCAGCCATCGGGTACAGCGAAGGTTCCGATTGGTCGGCATTCACAATGGATTTTTTATTTTATTTTCAGGGGCGGCAGCCGCAGAGCAAGCTGAGACACGGCAATATGAATCGCAGGGAGGCGGAGGACGGCCCGGGCGAGGAGCAGAAGGAGATCGGGGTCGGTTACTCCGCTGCTCTCTTATTATGATTGTGAATTCATTGTTGTCGGCGCTCCGGGCTGTGCCGGAACTACAACTCCCAGCATGTGCGCTCGCCGCTCTGCATATTACATGTTATCGTTGCTCAACTTTCAAGTCACAGCAGGTGGAGGTCATTCAAATCGCATCGCCCTCACTAAACATTAAGGGACTCGATATTTGCATAACTCCTCCCAAGAGCCTGCCCACTGCTTTCATCAGGGCTGCGGGTTCTTGAGTGGAGTGCTGAGGCAGGGTGCTGTGATGCTGCTATGTGCAGCCCCTCCCACCAGCTATGATCCACCTGCATTGCAGAGAGAAGCACAGGGCCCCAGTGATGACATCATTGGGTATAAAATATAAACCTGAAACAAATATAATCCGCTTCATCGTACCTGTCCCTTTAAGTTGGGCTTAAAGGGACAGGTACAGGGAAACGCAAAACTGAAATTGGGCATTAGGATGTTGGTCATTATGGCAGCATAGTACAGCCGCTGCGCCAAATCTAACCGCCGACCTGCAGCAGAGCGACGCGCTAATCTTCACTTCCTGCCTTCCAGGTGACCATCCCTCTGGACATGAGTATGAAGCTGACGCAGGAGCAGTTCCAGAAGCAGAAGGCGGCAGTGCAGGACTTCCTGTACACCTTCCTCTCTCTCGGGTCGTCGCAGGGTAAGGACACCTCACGTGTAGTCTTCTGGGGTTACCCATCATCAGAGCTCGACCCTTGCTCTCTATGTGGAAGCAGTGGTCTCCCTGCAGAGGTTCGACACGCCCCTCTGCCGAGTCAGATCCGTCCAATCAGCAAAGCTTATGCCCGCTGCTGATTGGACACTAAATGAGCTTCCTGAATGAGGTCAGCGAATCACACGAGACAATGCCGAAGCATCCGAATGACAGCCGGGGATCTTGCGTTTCCTAAAAAAGAATGGAAGCAGTGGCAATCGCCTTTATTTCCCCAGGCCAATCACAAGGCTCCGACCTGGTCACATGACGGGAGGAAGTCATTAGACCTGTGTGAGCGCCAACACAAAACCCACAGGGATTGGGCTCCTGGCAGAGCAGCAGGGGGAGCGCAAGGTGGGAGTTTCATCCTTTAAGACGGGTGGGATGGGGAACCTCAGGCCCTCTAGCTGTGCTGAAACTACAAATCCCACGATGCATCTGTCTCTGGGAGTCATGCCTGCGAGAATCTTGCAATGCCTCATGGGATGTGTAGTCTCACCCCAGCCGGAGGTTCCCCACCCCTGCTCCAAGAGAACCTGTCACTGATCTCTGAACGTCGCCCATTCAAAATGGTAACATTGTATCAAGCCGGAAGCCTCTGGTCTTGTTACAATGTTAATTGGGCAACGTTCAGGGATCAGTGACAGGTTCTCTTAGAGCGGGGGTGGGGAACCTCCGGCCCTCCAGCTGTGGTGAGACTACAAGTCCCATGGGGCATTGCAAGACTCTCACAGCCACGACTCCCAGAGACAGATGCATCATGTGACTTGTAGTCTCACCACAGCTGGAGGTTCCCCACCCCCGCTCTAAGAGAACCTGTCGCTGATCCCTGAACGTCGCCCAATTAACATTGTAACATTGTATCAAGTCACAAGCCGGAAGCCTCTGGCCTTGGTACAATGTTGAATGGGGGCCAGTAAGTCTCTATGTGGGGGGCTCCTCCTAATGGTGACCGTGTCTCCTCTTCCTTTCCAGATACAGAAGAGAAGAATGGAAATCTTCAGAGCCAATGAGAAGAATGAAGCCCTGACTCCGCCCATCTGTCCCCGCCTCCCCTCATTCTTTGTGTCTGTAGTATCTCTTATATATGTGACCCGAAAAATAAACTGGAGATTTTTGGCAGAAGCTGAGCGTGTGGTGCTTTGTGGGATGCAGCAGACTGATCACTGGGGGAGGGGAGACTGAGGAAATGCTTCCTCCTGTCTGCAGCAGACTGATGACATCATCTCAGCCTAGGCAGTCACTGACTGGAGGGCGGCTTTTTTTTGAAGAATGCATGGAGTATGTCAGCTTATATGAATGTATAAATTATGAGAACATAATAATAAAAAAAACAAAGAAAACATGTAAAATAAAAAATAAATCTATTTATAACAGACGAGTCGTCCAATAAAAAGGTAAACGGAAAAACCAACAAAGACATTCAATTTAAAACAAGGCACCCATCGGCTTCTTCCCCCCAAAAATGAACACTTTCACTGAACACCCCCCTCCCCCCCGGGTACTGAGGCACTTATATATTATACAGCCGGTGGGTGTTCTCGCGGACTTTGGCCATGACGGATTTCACGGGTAAGTTCTTGAGCCGGGCGACTTCCTGGACGGTGTGCAGGGCGAGACCCGGGTGTGAAAACTTACACAGGCTTTTAGGAACCTGGAAATAAACAAAAACGCAGACAAGGTTATCTGCATGGAGTTTGTATAATAACGTACCCAGATTTCTGAGGCTTCCAGGGTGAACCAGCTCCAAGCTGACCTTACTGTGTGTGAAGCCGACTGTGGGGGGATGCAGCGAGGGGACGCCTCGTACATAGGGCCCGGTTCCTATAAGTGGCCCCCCGTCATGTCTCACCTGTCTAGGTACAAAGAACGGAGCGTCCGTCTCTATGATCAGCCTGTCCAGGGGGATCCGAGTCACCGCGTCCCGGGCGCTTGTCGCTGATGAATACGTCAGGACGGCGGTGAAACCGACGGACATGTTGGGAAACTCGCTCAGGAAAGGTTCGATGTCCTTGTAGCTGCCGGTGAAGCAATGTCTGAAAACAGAGAACGCGGGTTACGGGGTCACCTATAGAGGAAGCAAACACCGAGGACCGGCCGGAGACTTCCAGAACATTGCTATGGAAAGGGTTAAAGCTGAAACCCCCCCCCCCTCCCCCCCCAGCATAAAACTGTCACTGAAATATCATTCACAATAACAGTGGAGTCAGCAGGTTTGTTGGTAAATAAAGCCCATGTGACCTCTATGCCTCAGGACCAATCAGAGGAGCTCCAAATTGCTGGTCAAGACCGGGAGTGGTCAGTGACAATAGGAAGTAGGAGCCGAATATCCACCTTCCCCCCTCAGCACCCGGCATCATCCTGGGGAACCATAAACTATGTGATGTGGGCAAGATCTGACCTCCGTCCTCCCCTCCAGTCTTCTATCTGACCTCCGTCCTCCCCTTCAGTCTTCTATCTGACCTCCGTCCTTCCCTTCAGTCTTCTACCTGACCTCCGTCCTTCCCTTCAGTCTTCTAGCTGACCTCCGTCCTTCCCTTCAGTCTTCTAGCTGACCTCCGTCCTCCTCGCCAGTCTTGCACAGTTGTACCGGCTCCTCCCCTCTTCCTCTGATATCTCTGCACACTGGGAGCTCCTCACAATGCACATTAGAAGCCGCAGCAAGTCAGATTGAGGCCGCCTCTGTGACACCCAGCATCATCTAGCTATTTCCTCCCCGGCCCGCTCCTTTTAGTCATTAGATTTCAGTTCTTTCAATCATGGAGGCTCATCATCTTATGTGGGCAGTCTGCATGTATATGGAGTCTTCCCGGGAACAGCCACGCCTCGACACACATATATTTGCATAACTCCTCCCAAGAGCCGGCCCACTGCTTGCATCATGGCTGAGGGCTCCTGAGAGCAGTACTGAGGTCGGGAGCTGTGATGTCTTCAGGAAGCCATGTACGGCACCCTGCTGGCCCCTCCCACCACCCGCGATCTGCCTGCATTGCACTGAGAAGCACAGAGACCCAATGGTGATAACATAAGGTGTATATAGAAAACCAAAAGGTTTTATTTAAAATATATAAATTAGCATGTTGATGGGGGGAGGAGCCTGGGAAGTCAAAATTTGCAGATTAAACTTCAGCTTTAATGGGGATGATTAGTAATTAATATCGGGAGCTCGGGGTGATCACTCCCTCATCAGATGCGGGCACAATACATCATTCCACAGACAGACAAGACTGCTCACCGGTGTATCTTGTAGTCCCAGGGAACCCACTTCCTCATGATCCTGAACAGGTCCTCGTCCGCATCCCGACAATGAATGACCAGAGGCTTCCCCAGAGGCACGGCCAGCTTCAGCTGCTTCTCGAACACCTACCCACAGAGGAAACGTCATTTACAGCAGAAGGCCGATAACAAAACATAAACAAAAACACGCTGCCGACAGATCCGCCGGCGTCGCACAATCGCTGCTCCAATAAATAGAGGAGAACCTAATGCCATTCATGTGTCACATGGGATATCATTCAGTAATCCAATCAACAAGCTCAATACATGTGCAGGCAAAGAGACTTCCTGTGCAGGCAAAGAGACTTCCTGTGTAAAGAGACCCCGCCACGGCATGTGAAGGGTTAAAACACTGCTTTGTAAAATATAGAATAGATCAGGGAGTAGCCAAACTCCGGCCCTCCAGCTGTGGGTGAAACTACAAATCCCATGATGCATCTCTCTCCAGGAGTCATGCCTGTGGCTGTGAAAATCTTGCAATGCCTCATGGGATTTGTAGTTCCACCGTACAGCCGGAGGACCGGAGGTTGGCTACCCCTGGAATAGATGAATATTATAATACTCACTTTTGGAACTGGCAGAATTTTCAGCAGCGAACACTTGCGTGTGTGTGTGTGTGTGTGTGTGTGTGTGTGTGTGTGTGTGTGTGTGTGTGTCAGATGTCTGCATAGTAATGTATGTCACCCGCACACCGCGGTTCAATACGCAGTGATCATTTTATTGATGCGCTGACATCTTGTCACATTGCAACGTTTCGGGGGCCACTCAGGGTCCCTTCATCAGGCACGGGTACCGCATCCGTCATGCCTGATGAAGGGACCCCGAGTGGCCCTGAAACATTGCAATGTGACAAGATGTCTGCGCATCAATAAAATGATCACTGCGTATTGAACCGCGGTGTGCCGGTGACATACTTTACTATTGGGATCTGAAACTGCGCCATCGGCAGTCACTGCAGCGCCCACCGCAAGGGACACACCAGTAAGGAATGCGCTGGGACTCTTCTGCATTCTGTCAGATATCTGCGTCTCTCCATCGTGGCTTTCTCCTACCCCGTGTCCCCCAGGCAATACCTCACTGCTGTGGTCCCTCCTCCGGCGCAACATCACCAGCCTGTCAGAGCTGCCGGGACAGGCTGGTGATGTGGCGCTGGAGGAGGGACCACAGCAGGGACAGGCGGGCAATTGGCACACTCGGAAGCTGAAGATTCCATCTGTGCCGCCAACTCTGCAAGTGGGAGACAGAGACTGCTAATGGTATTATAAATGTATTTAAAGTGGATCTCCGGCCCCCCCTCCGCTACTCCCAGCGCTCCCACCAATTCACGAATTGGGCAAATTATGTGGGCAGTCTGCATGCATATGGAGTCTTCCCGGGAACAGCCACGCCTCGACACACATATATTTGCATAACTCCTCCCAAGAGCCGGCCCACTGCTTGCATCATGGCTGAGGGCTCCTGAGAGCAGTACTGAGGTCGGGAAATAAAAAAATAATTATAGACTGCCCGTAATAGGTTAAAAGTAACAAAGCAGCTTTATAGTTTTTTTAAGGGTGCACCAATGGGGGGTAGTTAGGGGCAAGGGGGGAGGGCAAAATAAAAAAAAAGTTTTCCTGAACCCCCTTTTACTTGCCATCACATGACCTTCAGCGGTGGCTTACTGGTCATCACTTTAATAAGAGCCACAACTGAAGGTCATGTGATGGCAAGTAAAAGGGAGCGCACCTTTGGCTGGTCTTGACGCCACCCTTTGTCGAGGTGTCGCCACGCTGCTGCAGCTCTATAGCTTTTTAAGGGTGCAGGGATGCCAGAATTGGGTATAGTGAGGGGCAAAAGGTGAGGATGTGCAAGGGTTAGGTAAGAAAAAAATAAATCTTTCCTCAACCCCCTTTTACTTGCAATCACATGACCTTCGATGGTGCCTCTTTCTAAAGTTGAGACCAGTAAGACACCACTGAAGTGCGGGTGCACCTACGGCTGGTCTTGACACCGACCTTCATCGTGATGTCATGACGCTGCTGCAGCTCTACAACCTAAGGGTGCAGGAATGCACCGACTGGGGATAGTGAGGGGCAAGGGGGAGTGGATCCCAGGGTTAGGTTAAAAAAAAAAAAAAGCCTTCCTAAACCCCCTTTTACTTGCAATCACATGACCTTCAGCGGTGCCTCTTCCTAAAGTGAAGACCAGTGAGCCACCGCTGAAGTGTGGGCACACCTTCGGCTGGTCTTGGCGCCGCCCTTCCTCCTGATGTCACCATGCTGCTGCAGGACCCTGCTGATGGACCCAATGGGAAGCACCCGTATCACCAGGCAGTAATGTGGGCACTTGAAGAAGGACCCTCCCACTATGCAGTGAAAAAGCATGTGACCCGGCACATCATGTGACCATGAATTTAGGTATTTGGGGCAAATAGCTTAATTGCTTTTGTTTTTCATGCATGGGACGCTTAGCTATACGTGTGTGTGGTCAGAATAACATTTTATTAACCTTTCATTGTCATGGCAACATCTCTTTACTGCAATGACCGCGATTGCTTCTCTCTCAAAGCAAAATTTGCTCAGATTGCATGAAAATAAACAAAAAAAACCCGTGTGACCAATGAAACCTTCCTGAGCGGTCCAATAGGAGTGCCGCACCGCTCGGTATGCAGAGAACCTTTCAGACTTACCTCATGCTGCTCCGTCATTGTTGTGGAACATTTGTGGGAATAATCCAAACCCATCTCCCCATAGGCGATGGCTTTGGGGTGCCGCATAGCCTGCATCACCTCCTCCTGCAGTTCGTTGTTATAATATTGAGCGAAATGAGGGTGACACCCGAACGCCCCCCAGACCAGGTTCTCGTTCAGCACGTGCCGCCATGGAAGCCTCTCCAACGTGCGAGGGTCGCAGTAGTCCGTGATGCAGCCCTGAAACTCCGAAGGGAAAGTGGCGGCGCACTGCTGGCGGAGGTCGGCGAAAGACCGCTTGTGCTGCAGCCGCGAAAAGAGCATGTCCAGGTGGCAGTGGGTGTCTATGAAGCCCTCGCGGAGGAATCTTGGGGTGTTGTAGTCGGCGGGGGGTATAATGTCCAATGACCTCCGTGTGGTTTTAGTGTTGTCGTCAAACGCCCGGGGCGTATTGAAGGCTCCCGATCGCCCCCGTCTCTTTTCGCCCTCGTCTTCGCTGTCGCTGGACGCCACATGACTGATCTCCGCATTGAGGGAGACGTCTGAAACGCAGCTCTTGTTCAGCATGTCCTGGCGCCACTTGTTTTCCTCTGCGCTGGGCTTGTACAAGGGACTGGTGGGCCATGGGTCCTTAAAACTATTGAATGAGCGATTGTACAACTGATGAGGGTTCCTAAGGTAACTGGGTGTTGATGTCCCGGCTGTGGTGGCTGCCACAAGATGATCCGGCGGAGGTGCGTCTTCCTGAGAAAATCTGGCCATGGTGCCCATGTCCTCTATGTCGGAGAAGTCGCTTCCTATGGATGGATCCTTTTCCAGACGATCTCCCTATTCCGTGAAGACACAGACACAAACGTTAAACAGCTAATTTGTCACTCTGCTCTCTTCCCTGAACTGCAGCAAACCTGACTGGGCTGCTTCTCTCTCCGAGCCCTGCTGAACAATGGAATGCCAGAGGCTGATACCAAGCCAAATCCAGGTATGCGCCTTTCAGCTGGCTATGCACATTACAATCTCAATGTAGAAACTATGTACAATCATATTTATATGGTGACAGGGCCTATCTAAAAACAGTGGTGGTCAAGATGGGGGCTCAGCTGTGGCCCCGACATCACCAAGGGGTCCCACATTATATCCAGTTCATATAATGATGCCATAGTAGCCCCTTTACAAATCAATTCTCCCAGTCATATCCTCCACTATAGGCGGCTGGGGCTTGAGGGCTGCACAGCAAGTATAAAAAGGGCCACAGGTAGGTTGAGCACTGGTGGCTTACACAACCCATACCGACCATCGCACAACACCGGTGTCTGAAAATCTGAATGACATTGTACAACACAACTGTAAGCCAGGCAACCTCGGCACTCCAGCTGTGTGAAACTACAAATCCCACCCAGGGCCGGATTTACACTCTCTGCTGCCCCAAGGCCAGGTTCCTCAATGTGCCCCCTCATGGAGAATGGCAGACCTGGAGGCTGCATGCAAGTGATCTCTGTGGCATCGCCAAAATCACTGGTACAAAACAAGCGGCGGCTTCCCTGCTGTACATTTAGCTCTGCTTGCCCAAAGCAGGGCTAAATGTAGAAAACTACCCGCCCAGCGCTCGGAACTGCACGTCCCGGGCATTGGGAGATAGGAATTCCACACCCCTGCTGCCCCTCTACTGCCTGCTCCCCTGAGGCCGGGCCTTGGTTGGCCTTGTGCGAAACCCGGCCCTGATTCCGCCATGCCTCTGTCTCTGGGAGTCATGCCTGAGACCGTCAGAATCTTGCAATGCCTCATGGGAATTGTAGTTTCATTACAGCTGCAGTGCCAAGGTTGCCTACCCCTGGTCTCAGATGTTCAGCTATAAAACATTAAGGTCTACGGCATGGAGTCATACACATTCTTCTACTCACTATATCAGATTCTTTATCGGATTCATACAAGAACACAAGTCCTGGAATGTTGGCTGGGGCCTCTGGTTTCTCTTTACGGACCTCCGGTTCTTCTTTAGGAACTGCCCTTGTGATGGTTCCCTTCAACCGGCTTGGGCGATCCCCACTCCCTGATCTCCGTGATGGTTTCCCTTCCTCAGGGCTGCCTGTCCTGGGTAGTTGCTCTATATCCCTGCACTTCTCTTTATGGACCTCCGGTTCTTCTTTAGGAACCACCCTCACGATGGTTCCCTTCAACCGGCTTGGGCGATCCCTGCTCTGTGATCTCCGTGATGGTTTCCCTTCCTCAGAGCTGCCCGTCCTGGGCAATGGCTCTGAATCCCTGGACTTCTCTTTACGGACCTCTGGTTCTTCTGTAGGAACTGCCCTCGTGATGGTTCCCTTCAACCGGCTTGGGCGATCCCCACTCTCTGATCTCCGTGATGGTTTCCCTTCCTCAGAGGTGCCTGTCCTGGACAATGGCTCCGAATGTCTGGACTTCTCTTTACGGACCTCTGGCACTTCTGTAGGAACTGCCCTCGTGATAGTTTGCCTTAACCGGACTTGGAGATTCCCACTCTCTGATCTCCGTGACGGTTTCTCTTCCACAATCTCGTTCTTGGAGGTTCCTGTCCTCAGCAATGGCTCTGAATGTCTGGACTTCCCTTGACGGACCTCCGGTTCTTCTCTAGGAAACACCCTTGTGATAGTTCGCTTTATCTGGATTGGGTGATCTGCACTCTCTGACCTCCATGACGGTTTCCCTTCCACCGTCTCTTTCTCAGGGCTGTCTGTCTTGGGCAATGGATCTGAACCCTTGGACTTCTCTTTCTGGACCTCTGGTTCTTCTTTAGGAAACGCCCTCGTGGTAGTTCGCTTTATCTGGATTGGGTGATCTGCACTCTCTGACCTCCATGACGGTTTCCCTTCCACCGTCTCTTTCTCAGGGCTGTCTGTCTTGGGCAATGGATCTGAACCCTTGGACTTCTCTTTCTGGACCTCTGGTTCTTCTTTAGGAAACGCCCTCGTGATAGTTCGGTTTAGCCGAATCGGGTGATCCGTACTGTCCGACCTGCCTGATGGTTTCTCTTTCTCAACCTGTTTCTCGGGGCTGACCATCCTGGGCGATGGCTCCGAATCCCTAGATTGCCGCTGTTGGAACCGACTCATCCTCTCTGCCTCTGGCGGGCTCCTCATCTGGCCATCCAATGATCTTCGTTCTCTCGCTGAAGCTCCCAGGATGTCGCTGAACGCTCTCTTAAACAACAAGGACGGAGCAAGGAGCCTTCGCTCCCGGGTCCGGGGCACATCCTCAGACTTCACTTTGGTCTGCTCATCCATCTCTACTTGGCGATCATCCTGCAAACAGGAATCAAGAAACAAAATGAATGGTTTAGATGCTGAAAATAAAACACGAGTGGCGCTTTTTAAGTGAGGTGTAGTAACTTATAATCAGCGGGAACTTTACCTACATTCCCAAACATGTACCAAAGGCGTGAAAACGCTGGAGGCCCCCGGGTTGTAGCACCTCAGCGTCATAGGGTCTCACCATCGGGGTTCATAAACACCCATAACTGTCAATATAGTAACATTAACCCCTTCACGGCACAATGGGATAATCCTGTCATGGGTCCTCAAGGGGTTAAACAGACTCCCGGCGGCTACTCTGTTCATATTTGTAGAGCCGGCAGCCGGCTTTGCAGTAGAAGCGATTCTGGTGGCTTAGTTGCCAACAGATAGCTTCTACGATTCAGTAAAGGGGGCCCCCGCCCGCCGTGTTTCCCGGGTTCCGCTGCACCTCCTGCAGGCATGGGACTGGCATCTCAGGTGTCGGCAGGAAGCTGGGGAGGAGAGTGGCAAACCTCTGTTCACCGATCTCCTCCTCCTTCTATGGGCCCGTTAATGATGCGTATTGCATCAATTGCGGTCCCCGAGCTGCCATTGCTGGGCTCCTGAAGACTGCGATCTGCACTTCAATAGCTTTTTGGGAGTGCAAAGGTGACATTGGGGGTCTTTTGGACCTTTGGACCCCCAGTATCACCTTAAAGAGGACCTGTCATCACCTATATGCTATCACATGGGGGGGCTTGTAAGCTCCCCTATGTAATAGCAATTATAGTTAAAAAAAAAAAAAAAAGAGTTTAAAATATATTAAATAAATGTAAAAAACATAAAATGTATTTTAAAGTCCCCCGCCCCCACAAGTCTTCACGTAAACAGGCGTTGGGTGCGCCTACGTACGAAAACGTTGATCACGCTACACTTTGGATATTGGTGCACACGCCGGAGTGAGAGCAATAATTCTAGGGCCAATATTGTCTGGATCCACCCAGCTGCGTGATTGAAAGCTGGCTCTGCCTATCTAGAGGCAGAGCCAGCTGTACCCGCCCCCTCCCCCGTCCGTTCCTCCAGTCAGTGCTGGAGTATCGGACTCGGACAGGAGAATCCCTGCAGGGAGCCGTGAGTGACAGTCACGGCTCTCAGCACGGATAGATCGAGAAGTGACCGATTGACGGTATGTGTTCGCTCACCTCCCGATCTACTGAGCCGACCTGTGACAGTCTCATTGTCACAGGTCGGCTAGAAATATGAGGCTGAGTGGAAATCACGCACCTCATAGTTCTCCTTTAAGTGCATTTTTCACAAAATGTGGGGGGTTTGATAAGTTGTGCTAATATCGCGCAACATAAAAATTTATACATGCCGCCATTTTATTCTACAGGGTCTCCGATTTAGCCGGTTCTCCGCAGTTGGCCACTGCCCCGTCCCGTTTCTGTGGAACTACCGCCGGCGCCGAGGTCCAGAGTGCGTCTGGGCGTTCTCTCGTAGGGGTAGAGCGTAACCTGCCTCTCTCTAGGCGGGCTGTTGCTGTCGGAGTCTCGCTCGCTGCTGTGGTGGGCGCTCCTCGGGAGTTTGGAATACAGGCCTTTCAAGT